GTGGTACAGACACAGGGGAACCTCAGGATATACTACAGAAGTATGCAAATGGACTGTGGGTTTGTGAACAGGTGTTTGGCCTCATTTATCACCAGGTTTCTGTAAGTCAAAGCCACAGGAGCTACCATCTCACATTGGGTAGGGTGGCAATCCTCAGAAAATGGAAAGATAACAAGTGCTGCCAAGCATGTGGAGGTAAGGAATGCTACACACACTGCTAGTGGGAATGGACAATGGTGAGTCCACTACAGAAAATACTCCAGAGTTTCTTCAAAAAAAGTAACAATGGAAGCAGCATGTGATCCAACAATCGCATTTCTGGGTGTTTCTCCAGAGGAATTGAAATCATGATCTGAAAGCAGTATTTGCATGCCCATGTTCATAGCAGAACTATTCATAATAGCTAAGAGTTAGAAATAGCTAACCATTGGTGGATGAATAGATAAAGGAAAAATATATATGCATATATGAAGAATATTATTTAGCCTCAAAAGAGAGGAAAATCCTGTCATATGGATGAGCCTTGAAGACATTACGTTAATTAAAATGAGCCAGAGTCAGAGCAACAGTTACGTGATTGCACTTACATAAAGTCTCTGAAATAGTCAAACTCATAGAAGAAGAAAAAATGGTGGCTACTAGGGGCTGAGGGTTGGGTAAATAAGGACACTGCTGTGAAATGGGTATAGAGTTTCAGTCATGTAAGATGGAAAATTCTAGAGTCCTACTGTCTTAACATTTTGCTTGTAGTTAACAACACTATCTTGTACACTTAAAATGTTGTTATGAGCAGATCTCATATAATGTGTTTTTTCATCACAATAAAAAATTTACAATGAGGTCACTATGATCTCACGTGAAAAAGGATATATAGGTGGATTGGATGGGGGCTTGCCTGGGTATTTGTATGTAGAGAGAAAATAATGACTAGAAAGAAAGGCGTCAAAAAGTTAACAGTGGTTTTCTCTGGCTAGTGGGATTATAGGTTCTCTAGGTTCTATGTTTGCTTTCTTTGGTTTTTTGTTTTTGTTTTGTTTTGTTTTGTTTTTTGGTATCAGGAATCAAACTCAGAACTTCATGCTTTCCAGATATGTGCTGTGCCACTGAGCTATATCCTCAGCCTAGGCTCTGTGTCCTTAGTAATATTTTCTGTGGTTTTCTAACCTTCTATAGAGAGTGTGCATTTCTTTAATCACTTTACCTCACCTCTCAAAACATGAGAAAGGAAAAAAAAACGAAAAGGAATAAACCAACTAATCAAGGACATTGGCAGATTTGGAGCCATTCTATCCCAGCTGTGCCTCTGCCAGCTGTGTGACCATGGACAAGTCACCCAGGCCTTCGGGGTTGCAAATTTCTCACCTCTGCGGCCAGTGTTATAGTATCACATTTCTTTGTCATTCCTGCCAAACAATTTATGTGCTTTTTTTCCTGCTCCTTTGATGGAGATGCAGAACTGAAGAAACTGGCATCTTTCTGCCTAGTCAAGCCTCCAAGAGGACGCAAGCATGAGCTGAGTGAGACCTTCGTCTCCACCAGAGCCCTCTGTCAAATTCAGAGAAAGAGGAGGGTGTGGCTATGATCTCTGTGTGCCTGAATTTATCAATCTGGAAATGTGAGCATGTGATTAGGCCAGACCACTGTGCCACGGAGCTAGAGAGGAGTGAAGGGTTAAGTCCAGGGTTAGGTCCTGACAAGGTCTGCTGCCAGGTCACAGCAGTGGGTATACTGTGGACTAGATACTGGCAACTGTGGAGCAAGAGTGGAGGGCAGGCCTGCCACCTGAGAACAGGTTAGTAAGGCCAGGATATATTCCCTTTGTTTTGTACTCCTACCCAAGGCCCCCCAGCTTGGCAAGTGCTCTGTCATGTTTGTTGCTACACTTCAACTCTTCAGTACTTGGAGCAGTGACTGGATCATTTCTGTAGGTCCCAACTCCAGTAGTGTGGCAAGACAATGGAGCTCAGGGAAAGCTGTCACCCTCTCCCCATATGGCCCACTCCTGGCAATCAACACTAGCCCTGACTATCTTCTTGGATCCTGTTGACTGACATCACAATTTCTAGGGCAAGTGATTGATTAGGGCAGCCAAGAGCAAGAGGCCCAACTGTGACCCACAGCTGCTGGGTCCTAGGCCTAGAAGAAACTCTCCAGGTTGTCCAGGGACTGCACAGTCTCTGGGTTATCCAAGTCATATCCACTAACCCTTTAAAAAGCCTGGAAACAGACTTGGTGGAGGGAAGTCCATGAAATTAATCCTGCAGATCCTTTGCTACAGATGAGCTCCATCTTTCTCTAGCCCTGGGACGCCAGAGAGCCTTCTGATACCCCTTCTTCAGAGCTATTTTATATCTCTTTTCTAGACACCCCTGAGTGTCATCCTCAGGAAGTGGATTTAGCTCCTTAGTTTTCTCACAGAGCCTGATAATTCTCAGGCTCTGAGAATCCTAAAACATCTGAGTTAGAAAATAATATTAAATCCAACTCCAGCCCACCCTTCCAGCCACACCTATTATACAGAAAGGTCTACTGAGACCCCCAAAAGGAAAGGCCTAACCACAAGTGCAAAGTTAACCAGGCGACCCCCCCACCTGCCCTTAGGGTCTTCTAGTACACTCAGCCTCCACCTCAGAAGCAGCAGGAGGCTGAAGCAACATACCTCAGGGGCTTCTCTTGACTAGGAGAGTTGGAAACTTCAAGGTGCCCACTACACAACTCCCCAAAGTCAAGGGCCTCGGCCTTACACAGCCCAGCCCTGAACTGTTCTCCTCTACCTTTGCAGAAGACAGCAGAGGAAAAACTATCTTCATAGCTTCAGAAGACAGCAGAGGAAAAACTATCTTCATAGCTTCACAGTTTGCTGCCTTTGGCCTAGAATATCTCTCTCTCTCTCTCTCTCTCTCTCTCTCTCTCTCTCTCTCTCTCTCTCTCTCCCTCTCTCCTCTCTTTCTCTCACGCATGTGTGCACACGCATGCACAAACACACACACACACACACACACACACACACACACACACACACTGCCAGTCTTTCCCAATTCCCTTGGTCCCTCTGATTTCATTTCCTCTGCTTCTGTCTTTCTCCTTACTTGTTCTTTTGTTTCTCTCCACCTGTTCTGGTGCACTTTCTGCCTCTCTTCCTGTGGTTTCCTCTCTCATGTTTTCTGCATCTTGAACCTTCTCAGAATTTTGCTCTGTCCTATGAATGCTGAAACTGATTCTTTCAGAGCCCCCCAGACTGTGTCCAGGAGCCAAGATGAACCAAGGCAGGGTGAGTCAGGGACAGGGGGCGCCAAGCCTGGCTCTTCTTGGGAAGCGTCCCTTTTCATGCCAGGCCCTTCCTGAGTCTGGTCCTGGTAATACCCAAAGCAATGAACCTACTGGGAAAAAGGAATGATCCTGGCTCTCTGTAGGTTCTATGGGCCTGAGAGTCAGATCCATTTGCTTCCCAACACTAGCCAAAAGTATTCCTCACTAGAAACCTTCAAGATAGGCAGAGTGGCAGTGTCTTCCTGCCTTATAGACAATGTCTTGAGCTTCAGAAGCTAAAGGACTGATTTAGGACATATAGGCAGTTACAGATCCAGGAAAAGGGTGAAAACCACTGAGCAAACATCAACTGTTTTAAACTGTCCCCACCCCAGCTCTGCTTCTTGAACCATGGGTACACTGAGTGAAGAGGCAGGGAGGGTGCTCCCTGATGTGAAGACTCAGTCCACAACCACTGTGAGCAAGGCCCTGAAGGAAATACAAAAAAAGAGTCCAAGAAATGCTAGTATCCCTCCTAAGAGAGCTAGAATTAGAGCTAGAGCTCTCTGTTCCAATGTACTCTTTCACACTGACATCTTTCTGAGGAAAAGAGCAGTCTCTCTCATGTCCATATCTACTAAGAAGTTCACGCCAGGCAGGGAAGAGGATTAAAGTGGATCATCTGAGACCTCATGCACAGCCCTTCTGGTCATGCCTCCAGGCACCAGGGTCCTAAGGCACTCTGTCCCAAGGCAGGGTCCAGGCACTCTGTTGGCCTTCCATCTTCCATCAGCAACAGCTGAGGCCTTACTCAAAAGGCAAAATCTCTGTTCCAAGCAGGTGAGGTCCAGTGGGCAGGGTAAAAGGGTGTTCCTTGGCTGGCTGTTCCTCTAGAATCCAGGGATTGGTCATTGTATTTTCACCTTAAATGCTCTCCCCCTACAATTCTGAACTTGGTCCACATTAACCTTATGCTGGCTCCCAGGCTTTTGTGGGAGAAGGCCCCAGCACTCCCCTTTGACAGCAATCCAGGAGGGGAAGTTCCCTGGCCTAGCTTCTTGTCCCCATTGCAAATTCTGGCTTGCAGAGAGGAGATATCAGCACCATGATGCAGGCATTCTTGCATTTTTCTCCCTACTCTATCTGAAGTGTCTCCAACAGTGGCCAGCACACAGAAGGCACCCAGGAAATAATTTTTGAATTGAATAAATGAACTAGGGTTATATCAGAAGCCCCATAAGGAGGGAAAAGAAGGCTTTAGAGGCTCAGGTTTGTCACTTCCAGTTCCTGTGCAGAATGGGAGAAGGCATACCTTTGTAGAACTCACACTCAGTGCCAATCTTAGTGCGCCTGGCACATAGTACTGGAAGATCCTATCTTCTCCAGAGGGCCTTGCTAGGCTCAAGAGCAAAAGAACAATGGGGCTTCCTATGTGTTCCACAAAGGACAGCCCACAACACACCCTGGTCCTGAGTCAAACACTTGCAGTGTTTTCCAGGCAGAGTACATGGAGTCTATTCTGCAGCAGAGAAACCTGAGGCCTGGAGAAAAGATTCCAGTAGTCAAATTAAGGTCACTTAGCAGGTCTGGTCATGTGGAGCTTGGAGACCAGGGCTCCTGATTTCTTGCTGGGCTTGGGGAGGGATCAGGGAAGGAAGGGTAAGCCAGAAAACATGCCCTAAGGACTGCCCAATATCAATGTCCACACCAAGCCTACCATCTTGGCACACTTGGTATTTTTTAACCTGCATATTTGCTACCCTCTGTTTCTTAATCTTATTGTCCTTGTCCCTGCCTGAGGAGATAGTGTAGGGGCCCAAGTGGCGGTGACCCAGCCAAGTGGCCCAGCCTCAGTCCACTCTTGTCTCAGTCCTGTCTGTAGCCAACCATCTCCACTCCTCTCATCAGCTAGAAACTCTATCCACACTCACATTTGCTCCTTTATATCTCTCTCCTTTGTTTTATGGGGCGGCTGTGGCAAGAATGGAATGGTGGGGGGTGTACAGCTCAGAGACTGTCGTTTATTAGTTCTCTCTTCCCCGAGAAATGAGGGGCTGCAGCTGGCCGGCGATATGGGTGGGGTGAGCTGGCCTCTGGCTGCTGCGAAGGCTGCACATCTGGGGGTGGGGGCCTGGAAGCGAAGCTGAGATGAATTACCTGTGTGTGCTGGGAGAATCAATTGGGCATGCGGGCACGGTGCCTGCTCCGCTGGAATTAGGGAGCAGGGCTGGGGGCTCCAGCTGGGGACCTGGGAGCAGCAGAGTCCCCATATGGGGGCAGGCAGTGGCAGTGCCTTGGAAAACCCAGCCTCCCTGAAAAAGAAGAAAGAGCAATTTTCTAATTCAGGGTAAAAGTCTTGCTAAAAAGAGCCTGCTCTTCTCCATGGCATCCCCTTCTAACCACATACTAGCCACCCTCCACACCCAAGCCAAAGTCTCTTCCAGCTGGGATTTCATGTTCTGTCCTCTACCCATTTGGCATGTCCTGGGACTCCATGATGTAAACACACACAGTTTTCCCCATCTTTCTCTCAACATCCTCCCTACCCATTCCCAAGGCTGGTATTGGTGACAGTACTACTTCTCAGCTATGTACAGCCTCACTTTTCCTCATCTGGAAAATGGAGTTGATCATTCCAAACCAGAATGTTTTGAGGTTTCAAAGTCATTAACAGGTAACACCTGGCCTTTGAGCATGTTCATGGTGGAATTTAGTGGAGTGGGACTCTGCAACTGACTAGCTAAGTGACCTTAAGGAGCTCTCTGCTTAGTTCCCTGAGCCTCAATTTACTCATCTGTAAAGTAGGAATAATAATCTCCACCTTAAAAAGCAGTTGGGAGACTTTAGGATAGACCCATTGGGAGGTGCAACTTCAGCTAGCTGGGATATATGCAGTCAGGAGGCCAGAGCTGTCCTCATGCCCTTCCCCTCCTAGGCTTCATCCCAAGGCCCTTCACAGGAATGTGCCTCCTATGCTTCCCAGGCACTTCCGGGACAGCTAGCTGGCAGCTTGGGGTCAGAGAGCCCAGTGGGCCTCTGGAGCATGAAGGTACTGCTTGCCTGGCTGCTGGGGATAGTGGAGATAGACGCTCCTTCCCATACTTCCCTGCCCCCTATCCCCACAGCCATACAGGTCCCTTGCTCTCCAAGAGGCAGCCTCCTCTCTGACATCAGCTGTAGTCAATTCCCCTGAGAGCCATCCCCAATTTTCATTTCCTCTCACTAATCCTCACACGAAGTCCCTTTGCACAGCCCGGAACAGCCTCTGTCCCGGAGCTGGCTCTACTCACCAGATATGTGTTGCAGTTCACAAGCCCAGGTTTTTCAGCTGAGAGGGCTTTGTGGAGTTCATCTTCAGTCCCCTTCCTCCAGGGCTCTGTGTGGGAATGGGGGAAAGGGGAAGGCCCCACCCAATCACTCAGTACCTTTGCTCTAATTCCAAAAGGGCACTCTCTATAGGCAGCGGCAGTTTATACTAGTTTGTACAAGATTAGAAAGCTAAATGTGGGCTAAATTTCAGCCCCTACTCACACTCTTGGCCAGACACCCTTATGCAGTTCTCATCCTGATCCAGTATCCATGGTGGCCCTGGGAGACATATTGAGCTTTGAAAGGCATGTTCAGAAAGTTTGGAGCGGGTTTCAGTTAGAGCACTGCAAGAAAAGCCAAAAAGGTACTAGTAAGCCCTACAGTAAACCCTACAGTAAGCTCAGAAGGTAGCAAAGCACCAAAGAAAAGTGATCTCTGTGGCAGATTGCATCTGAACAAAAGTATGAATAAGGGCCATCTATCTCTGGATTACCATGGTTAGAGAGCAGGGCCAGGTTAGGTAGCAATGGGGCAGAGAGGATGTTCATGACGAAAATTAGAGGACTAGAGCAGGTGTTCTGTTTGTAGAACAAGAGGCCAGGGCTGAGGTTCAGCTTACATCAGTATACTCAGGGCTGAAGACTGACAAAGGGAGAGGGAGGTTAGTATTGCAGGTCTGAGAGGGCGATGGTCCTGCCTTAGATCTGATCACTGCCACTTGTGGAGCCAATGGGGGGATAGATGATCAGGTACGTTTACAAGTCTGACTCCTTCCCAGTCTGGCAGCTCCGGGTCTTCTCCCTCCTTTTAGCCCTGGGACCCTAAATTCGCAAATCACCAGTAGATCAGCAGATGACATTTATTTAGTGTTTTTACATTCCAGCTCTCTTGTGCCTTGAAGGGAGCCAATCTCCAGCCTCTTTCAATCTTTACCCTGGCAGAGTCTTATTTACCTTTCAAGCCTAATTCAATGTCACCTCCTCTGTGAGGCCTTCCTTGATACTTTGCCTTGACATCCTCTCAATTCCCGTGGCTTCTTGGACTTAAACTGTCACCACACAGACCACACTGTACTGGATCTTTGTTTCTCTGCCAACCCAACTAGACAAGACCCTTGAGCCTGGCTCTCAGAGGAACTTAAGAAATGGCTATAAAGTAGATGCCTGAAGCAAAACAGATACATGTTTACTCAGAGGTTGCTGGTTGCTGGGTCTGAGCAGGGCTGTGAACTTGACAGGTGGGGTTGGGCATAAAGGTCCATGACTGCTCTTATTGCCAGGTTCCAGGCTGTATCTAGCATCAGAATGCAGTCATGGTAGCAGGGTTAGGGAGGTAAGACAAGAGCAGTGGTTTGTGGAGTGGGATTCCCATTTATCCTAGGCCCACACTCCTGACTGGCATCAAGCTCTGGACGAGCTCCAGGAAGCCAAGCCAGAGGATATCCAAGTGACATCTGACCCATCCCTCTGATTGGCACCATGCCAATATTCTGTCTTGCTTGGTATGCCAGCAGTGTCAGCTGCCCCCTCACTGGCCATCCTGGAGCCTCTATCTTCCTAGACAAGCCTGGTTGGGGGCCCCAAACCCTGCTCCATATCATCCGTCCAATTCCTCTTCCACTGATTCAAGCCAGCAACAGCACCGCCGAGCAAGTAGAATTGAAGCCAGAGAGCTTAGCCCCTTGGATTCTGGACTCAGCTTCCCATTAACCCATCAAGCGACTATGGTTGAGGGTCTGATCTTCACTGACCTTTTCATGTCTTGGGTCTGATAGCCTCTGGATAGCATAATGGCTCCTAGGAAAGTCATAAGAGAACTGACTTAGGTGCCTTCACTACCCTGGTAAGTGACCTCTGGCACTCACCCGTCCACCCGCCACTGGCCTGTCTGCCTGAGCCTGCACCCGGCTGGCTACAGGCTGAGGAAGCATAATCATGCTGGGCTATTTCAGACCCATTATCTCAGCTCAGCTCCTGCTTCCTGAGCAGGCCCCAAATTAGCCCGTGCTTTGTTCTCAAGTGCATTTGTCAGATCCCTTGGCTTGTACCTCTGGGAGGAGAGAGAAGAGGGAGGGAAGGCAGGGGCGGGGAGGGGGAGGAGAGGGAGTGGGAGGAGGAACCCAACGCTAATTAAGTCTCGTTAAAAACAGACAATGACAATGAGGAATAAGGAAAAGAAAGAAAACCCGAAGTGAAAGGGGGGAGGGAAAGGCTTGCTGAGGAAGCAGAACAGCCGCTGGGAGACACACACAGAAACGCGAAGGCACACACACACCCACAAAAAGACACGCAAACTCACAGAGCGCTCCAGCCTGGCAGCCTGAGCCTGCTCTGCCCGCATTGGGCCCTGCCTGCTGTACTCTGGCTGGGTCCCACTTAGGCTAAGACCCTGCACATGCCTTCTGGGGCTAAGGGCTTCCCAGCTCCTCAGGAGCTTGAGGTCTCTCAGGACTTCAGTTTCCACATTTGTTATAGGAGAAAACCCAGGCCCACAGAACAAAGCTGGTGGGAAAAATCAAAGCTCTGTACTGTTCAGACATTCAGTTCAGGAGTGGCCCAGCCCAGCAGCAAGTCTCTCCCTGGGCTGTGTCTTTCCTGGGTCAGGCCTGGTTATATGTCCACCTCGGAGCTGTTCTCAGAGCTGGGGGTGGTCCAGTACCAGGGCTTGGGCTCTGCCAGTCTCCTGCCCCTCCTGCTGCTGTTGGCCTGTGCCCCACTACCACCAGCCCAGGCTGTTTTCATGGACAATTGCTTGGGCAACAAACAAAGCTGCCCAGGGGCAAGGAGACCTCTGCATCTCCACAAAGGTCCCAAGTATCCCTAATGAACTAACTCTAGCTCTCTTTCTCCCTCAGAATTCTTGGTTTCTTAGTAACTCACATCTCCCCAGGCAGGAGCCCAGCTCAGTGCCAAGCCTTCCTTTCACACCACTTCATCCAGGCCCCTGGGAGATGAGAAGATGTAGGCTGAGAATATTCACTCCATACCTCCTACCTGGGTGTCAGGCCTTCCCATCTACGTGAAACAGTGACCTCTACTTATCCTGCTCACCCCAGACAGAGTCACCACCCCTGGGAAGGATAGTGCCCCATGCCACCCAGAGAGACCGCCTTGTTGAGCTCCTGAGAGGTCTTTTGAAGATGGAAGCTCACTCTTTGCCTCATGGCTGGTATCGATGCTCCTGCTAGAGTTCAGAGCCCTTTCAGAAGTTTTTCTAGCCCAAAGCATTCCTACAAGAATCTTAGCAGCAAGAATACTCAACTAGAGGTCAGACTGTTCTGGATTCAAATCTCTGCTCTGAAAATTACCGGCCATGAGAACTTGAGCAAGTCAACTCTCCTTCTTAGGGCTTCAGTTTCCTCCACTGTATGATGGGGTTATGACTGTCCCTATTCCAGAGTGCTGGTGAGGATTACATGGGATCCTGTGTGCATAGTGCTTAACACTGTGCCTAGCATAGAGTAGATGCTCAATACAGCAGACTATTAGTACTGCTCTCAAGAGAAGCAGGGCCAAGACTGCAGGTGTTCATTTAGCCTCTGGACTCTTTTTATGTTCTCTGTTGGGCCAAGAAGTCATGAAGTCCAGAATGATGGGGCCTCTGGCTGACCCAGGCCGTGAGATAAAGGATAAGGACTTCAGCACAGAGAGTATTTGAGTCTAAGAACAGGAGGGGTGTGGCCTAGGGTCGGGAAGCCTGGCTACGAGCCCCAGATTTCCAGAGACTGTATCTTCGGCTGATTCCCTGCGCCTGCATTGGTAACAGCTGACACCCCTCCCCCAGTGACAAGGTTGCAAGGGCTCTAGGCTACAAAACTGGAAGACAGTGCTGTGATGGGGGTCATAGCTCAGTAAGGTCAGCAGGTAGACCTCACCCACATTTCTTTGCTACCCACTCTGGCAAGGCTGTCTTGCAGCCTCTTCCACAGCTCACCCTATGAGTCTTTCCACCCCACATTCCTGCACAAACCTTCAAGCAGTCCCAAACTGAGCTGGGGCTCTGATGGGATACACAGCTAGCAAGTTCCCATTGTCCGCAAATCGGGACCAGCTGTGAGCAGCCTGATGCCTCAGGCTTGTTGCCGTTCCCACTCCTGCTGTAGTTTGAGAAGGGGGAAAAGGGAACTCGCTGCCTGCCTGCCTGTCTGCCCAGGGATCCCCCAGTGTGCACTCCTACATACCCATACACACACGCACACACACACACACACACACACACACACACACACACACACACACACAGACTGGCCAGGAACAATCAAGTATTATGAATAAAGATGTGCAGCTGGACATAGAATTCTTGCATACCCACCTGACCCACCTGGGAGCATAATCTTTCTCCCCAGCCAGCCCCATACACTGGTGTGGGACATGCAGAAGCCAGTGTCAAGGAGTCATAGGACTCCTTCAGTCTGGTACTGCCCTCAACAGAGCTCCTTAGTCCTCTGAGAAAAGATTGCTTAAACCCATCGTCATAATTTCAGGGGCTTTGTGAACGAGGCTATGACTTTAGCCACCGGGACTAGTAGAGAAGGAGAAAGCCAGACACTAGGGAGACTGGGGCTGGACCTGATTCCAGGGCAGGAAACTTGGTCCAGCAAAGTGTAGAACCTGACCTGCTCAGGTTTTGCATTGAGTCAGGAATGATAAGACACCAAAGGGTAAGTGACTGTTGGCAGCAGAGAAGTAAGTCTAGAGAATCCAAATTTGACAACAGCATTCTAGCCAGATCCTGAGCATACAGGAAAGAGCATCCAGATCCAGGTGAGACGTGGGTGGGGGCCTTTAGACAGAGTGCCAGGCCATCCTGCAGCCTATTGAAAAATTCTACCCTTTCTATAGCACCCCTTGCCAAACCTGCCCCTGGGTCCTGCCTCTCTCTCCAGCTCCACTTATACCCTTATCCCTTAAACCTGCTCAGTTCAGCATGAGCTTGATTTGAGAGCTGGACCTTTAGGCCAGCAAATGTCATGCCTGCCTGCCCAATGGAATCCCCTAGGAAACTTTAGGGAAAAAAATCTCCACGGACCAGGCCACACCCCAGACCAACTGACTCAGGTGTCTGAGGCTGAGATTCAGCAAACAATAATTAGTAAAGCTCCTCAAGTGAGTCTATTGTGCAGCCAAAGCAAACAGCACAGTGGTCAGCCTCCAGAAGAGGGTCTCAGAACATGAACTCTGAAAGTAGAGAGGCCTGAATGAGAAACCACACTCTGCCACTGACTTAATTGTGTTGCATTGGGCAGATTACCTAACCTCTCCAAACCTCAGTTTCTCTACCTGTAAAACCCAACCTCTATACTTGTTGGGAGGCTTTGATGTAAAAATGCCTGATGCACAGTG